TTTTTGCACAAAAATATCAACAAACCATTCTTCAAAAGGAAACAGAATATACTTGCTTCAAATAATGTCACGCCTTGATTTGTGCAAGCAAACACTTAGCAAAGGCACACAAAAGATTGCAGAAAAAACGCAACAGACAAAACATAACATTCTGACTGAATGTTTTGTAAACATATGTCAGGACATCATAGTTGACATCATGAACTAAACCCTGCAACAACAAAAAGAACCACCTGCAGAATGTTAAGATCGCATGTCAAGACATCATATAGGACATCTTGTGATAACACCAAGTTTTACCAAAATTGCTGTCAATCACATAACTAACAAACTCCCCCTTTGGAAAATTTTGGCTAAAACAACCAATTAATCACAAGAGCTACTAGAACACATCAGAGAGCACAGCAGCAGCAGCAGCAGAAAAACACAAAAAAGCGTAACATGTCACAGAGAAAAATAAAGCTCCCCCTCAAACCAAAGTTCCAGAGAACCATACCACAATACCAGAAAAAAAATTACTCCCCCTCAACCCAGAAACAGCAGCAACAACACAACATCCCTCATACTACTTCTCCCTTTTTTAGCCATAATTAAGGAAATCTCACTTCATCACCAGCAGTAGACCCAGAATCATGACCCTCAATATCATCAGTCCTCTCATCAGAGGTAGAATAGCTTCCTCTTCATCTGCATCAGCAACCTCAACATCATTACCTTCAGCCTGCTCCATACTTCTAATCAAGGCTTCCAATTTCAGCTTCCTTGCAGTAGTTACACGAATGACTTCTCCAAAATCTCTGCAAGTTTCCTTCAACTCTGATATAAGCCCAATCTTGGTAGAAGGTGTCTTCTCAACAGATGTCAATACAATGTCTGAGACATGTCTTCCTACAAACAATTTATAATGGAGAGACATCACCGAATCCCTTTTACAAACCACATCATTACTAGAGAGAATACCAGGATGCTGGCTTAGAATGATCCCACAAGTCAGTGAAAATATCTTTATTTTTAGAAAATACAAAACCTCTTGAATGATATTTCCACTCAGTAATAATTGCTACAAATCCTCATAAATGCAAATCCCTAATTTGCCTCTTAAAATTTCAAATTGACTAGCATCCAATGCCTTAGTGAAGATGCCAGCTAGCTACTTCTCTGTAGCAACATGTTCTAAGGTAATGATCTTGTCTTCAACAAGCTCCCTTATAAAGTGATGGCAAATATCAATATGCTTGGTCCTACTGTGTTGAATATGATTTTTGGAGATGTTTATGGCACTTAAATTATCACACTACAATGTCATGACATCTTGTGTGACATTATATTCAGTCAGCATTTGTTTCATCCACACCAGCTGAGAACAGCTACTTCCAACTGCTATATACTCAGCTTCAGCAGTAGACAGAGAGACACAATTCTACTTCTTGCTGAACCATGATATAAGATTGTTCCCCAAGAAGAAGCAACCTCCTGGAGTGCTTTTCCTATCATCAGTACTTCCAGCCCAATCAGCATCACAATACCCAGATAACACATACCCAGATCCATGAGTGGATAACATTCCATACTCACTTGTTCCATTAACATACTTCAGAATCCTCTTTACTTGATTGATATGGCTCACTTTGGGTTCAGTTTGGTATCTAGCACACACATCTACAGCAAAAGCAATGACAGGCCTGCTTGTTATAAGATATAACAAGCTCCCTATCATACTTCTATAGAGACTTTGATCCATATTTACACCCTTTTCATCTTTAGACAACTTCAGATGAGTAGGAGCGGGTGTTCTTTTGTGACTGTCATTCTCCATCCCAAACTTCTTAACTATATTCTTGGCATATTTACTCTAAGATAGGAATATAGAATCTCCCATTTGTTTAACTTGCAACCCAAGAAAATAGGTTAATTCACCAATAAGGCTCATTTCAAATTCTGACTGCATTTGCTGGACAAAATGTTGAACCATCTCATCAGACATCCCACCAAACACAATATCATCAACATATATTTGAGCAATCATGAGCTTTCCTCCTTCTTGTTTAACAAACAAAGTCTTATCTATGCCACCTTTTCTGTATCCATTATCAATAATAAATTTTGTTAGTCTCTCATACCAAGCTCTTGGAGCTTGCTTCAGTCCATACAAAGCTTTCTTTAACTTATAAACATGATTGGGAAAATTTGGATCAGTGAATCCCTTAGGTTGTTCCACATAGACCTCTTCATTTAGGTATCCATTTAAGAAGACACTTTTAACATCCATCTGAAACAGCTTGAATCTCAGAATGCAGGCAACTCCCAAAAGTAATCTGATGGATTCAAGGCGAGCTACAGGAGCAAAAATTTCATCATAGTCAACCCCTTCAATCTGAGTGTATCCCTGAGCAACCAATCTGGCTTTATTTCTGGTGACCACCCCTTTTTCATTAGACTTGTTCTTGTATACCCTTTGTTTCAATCACATTTACTCCTTCAGGCCTTGGAACAAGATCCCATACTTCATTTCTTTTGAATTGCCATAGCTCTTCTTGCATGGCATTGATCAAGAATTCATCAGTTAAGGCTTCCTTGACATTCTTTGGTTCAATTTTAGACACAAAACAAGAACTTATTATGACTTCTCTGGATCTAGTAGTGACTCCCTCATTTAGGTCACCTATGATCAGATCCATAGGATGGTCTTTCTGAATTCTGGTAGAGGGTCCCTTGTTTATTAGTTCAGCTTCAGGTTCTGCGTTAGTAGGATTGGAATCAGTGTTTTTGTCTGCAGACTCTGCTGAGATATCAAGGAATGTTTCAACATCTTCTAGGACATCAGCCTCCTTATGCACATCATCAACAACAACATTGACGGACTCCATCATAGCTTTAGTTTTGGAGTTGAATACTCTATAGGCTTTGTTGTTAGTAGAATAGCCCAAAAATATTCCTTCATCACTTTTTGGATCCATCTTTCTTCTTTGGTCACGATCTGCCAATATGTAGCATTTGCTTCCAAACACATCAAAGTATTAGACAGTAGGCTTTCTTCTGTTCTATATCTCATACAAGGTAGTCATGGTTCTTGTTCTTAAGGTCACTCTATTATGAACATAGCAAGCAGTGTTCATAGCTTCATCCCAGAAGTGGTAAGACAGTTTCTTTGCATGGATCATAGCTCTAGCAGATTCCTGGATAGTTCTATTCTTTCGTTCTCCAACTCCATTTTGTTGTGGAGTAATGGGAGAAGAGAATTCATGGCTAATCCCTTCAGATGAGCAAAATTCAGCAAACTTTTGGTTTTCAAATTCCTTCTCATGGTCACATCTGATTCTAACAACATTGCTTTCCTTTTCTTGTAACTCATCTGTAATCTCTTGTAACAACTTTCTGAGTATAGTGAATTGGTGAGTTGCTCTCTCCCCCAGAGTAGATCGTTTGATCGAACTGGATAAATACATTTTTCTTGCCTTATTATGTTATATTATCTGTGTACGGTTTATTATTGCTAAAGACCATTTATTTTAGTTGTTATTGTTCTTTGCCTCACAAATTGATATTGAATTTCGTCGTAATTCACAATAAGATTCACAACAACTTATCTATTACTCCTTCTGCTCGAAATTATAAAAAGTGTCTGATCTTTTAGACAAATTAAAAAATTAATTATTATTATTATATAAAAATAAAAAATTATTCATAACTTTATAATATTATATTTCTTTTATTATAAATAAAAGAGAAATTTAAAAGTTGAAAGAAGAAATATCAATAAATAAAAAGTATATTTTAGTAATTATTAAACAAAAAGTAATTCATACATGAAGAATAATACTTTTGGTTGGATCCAAATTTTCAACTTATGCCTATATGATAAACATCTCTTAAAAATCAAGAAAATATTTATCCAAATAATCAATTTTCCACTTTTTCATTTATTTTTTAAATTAACTTACTTTCAAATAAAAAAAAATTCAGAAACGTCAATTCAGTTAGCGATATTGTACTATACATAATAAGATTCTTCAATTCAATTGGCGCTAGTGTCAAACATGTAAAAGAGAGAGTACATTTTCTCGCTTACGTGTTAGTATACTATTGTCAATTGAATTGACGTCTCCTCTTATGTATTTTACATTGTTGTCAATTGAATTGATGTCTCCTTTATATTAATTTATTTTTATTTAAAAATTGGTTAGTTTAAAAAATACATAAAATGGATATTTATTTTTTAAAAATTGATTATTTGGGTTATTTTATCAAAATGAATGACCTAAAGTTTGCATGAATATAAGCAAAATATTTTATATCAAACTCCCTTCACTTATTTGCTAACCGCTTTTTCCAGAAAATTGAGTGATGAGGTGTTTTTGTATCCTTTAGTTTTCAAAGAAGAGAAAATGTATTACAAGTTAAAAGTAATTAAATCAAACATTGTAGAACTATACAAATTACCAACATGACTTATTAAGGGAAGAGGCAGTTGCTGTTTTCTTAAATGCAAATGCTCCGTACAAAACCTTATTAAAAGAGTTGTTAATATCAATCAACGTTGCATTTAATCCCAACCATGATATGGTTTTTTGCTGCAATATTTGATGTTTGTTTATAATTGAAAGCAATGTTGCTTGTTCTAAAACAATATTACAGGACCACATTTATAAACCAAAAGCGACAGATGCAACACGTAAGACACCTCAAAAGTCCTTTTATCATGAGTATGCACATGCACAGGACCAATGTACCTTAACAACATTAAATTACTGTAAACAACACATGTGAGAGACATCAGAAAAACAACAATAGGTAGCAATAGTTGCAAAGAAAAAAACATGCATAAAAAGTTGGAGAAATGGCATAAACCATAGCCTCGGCATTAAATTATTGAATCATATTATATGGTCAATAATAACACATAATAAATGGACTATATATACCAATAAAAATGCAGATATAACATAGATGCTGCTGCTATATTGCTTCTAATCTTCTACTATTTTAAAATTATGGATAATTCAATATACATTTGGAATCCCGTATCCGTTGTGATGAGATTTCTGCCATCTCCATGCAGTTCGTAAACTCTCTTCAAGATCAGTGCGTTGTGCAGACCATTTCAGTTCACGGTTGATCTTTGTTGGGTTACTATACACTTCGGCGTAATCACCGGGACGACGAGGGAGGTATTCTACTTTAATGTTCACTCCTGTAGCCTTTTTGCAAGCTTCCACAAACTCCTTCACTGAACTACCTGATAAACAGAACCGAAACGATGATCTTGAAGAGACAACTAAGGAGATCAAAGAACTGTGTTCATTTTTGAAAGTGTTTATGTAACCTACCTTTTCCAGTGCCGACATTGTAGATACCAACTTTAGCAGGTTGTGCCTTTGCGAGAGCTTTCACATGAGCATCAACCAGGTCTGTTACATCGATATAATCTCGTATGCAAGTTCCATCGGCCGTCTTATAGTCTGTTCCTCTAACCTGCAAAGCAGATGCAACGGCAACATACTCAGTTTCAGGATCTTCATTCATGCGTCTTTTTTTAATGACTCAGAAAATATCATCATACCTTTAAGCCAGGAATAATACCACGTGCTGCATCAAAGCAGGCACCGGATATTCGACCTTGCTCTCGCAGTTCAGGTCTTGGAGCCTCGCCCAATCTTCCTTCAGGGTCCGATCCAATCACATTGAAGTATCTAATTCAAAAGTATAGCCACAATATTAAGCATTTGATTATGGTCCAATAACACAACTATATTAAGAATCATTTATAGCTTAAGCAACAAAGAAAAGACGAAAAACACGGGGAAAATGCAAATGTAAAATACAAACCTGAGAATCATTATTGCCATGTCTGAATTTTTAGAAAAATCAAGAATGATATCCTCCGCCATCTTCTTGGCTTTCCCATATGGATTAATTGGGACCTGATATATAAAACAACAATGTTAACACTAAACTTTATCTTTGCAAGCAATAAACTAATCGAGGATGCAATGAGAAAACAAAAATTTCTCAACCAAAGTTAGATTTTCCACCTGCGGTGTTACTTCTGTGATGGGCATCTTTTCGGGTTCCCCATATGTTGCACAAGTACTAGAATATATCAATGTCTTCACACCATGTTTAGCCATAGATTCCAATACCAACAAGGTATTTGAAGTTATATTGTGATAATACCTGACAAACATAAAAATTAGAAACCGAAAAAAGTGCCAATTTCAATGTTTTCAATAGAGATTAAAGTGCCTGAAAAGAAACCAAACCGGAAGTGCTTACTTAAGAGGATCCACAGTGCTTTCCCCTACGTATGCAACAGCAGCAAAGTGCATGACAGCATCGAATTTGTTCTCCAAAAATATTTTATTAACCTGACAATGAGTTAATAAAACAAATTATCATGAGATTTCCCTACATATGCAACAAAATATTTCTTGTTATAAAAGAGTGTAATTACCGATTTTGCGTCTCCCAAGTCAGCGTATATAAATTGAAGCCTTCCTGGTTCTGGAAATAAGTCTTGAAGAACCCTGACAGCACCCAAATTTCCACGTGACAGATTGTCCTGCAATAAAGAGAAAAATTCATGTTTGTTGCGACCAAATTGATAGTTGCATTTTTGGCTTTTATTAGAGAACCATTTCGTTTTATGAATAGAGAGACATACTACTATGGTGACACGATAGTTATCTTTCAGAAGTCGAAGAGTAGCATGTGAGCCAATAAAGCCTGCTCCACCTGTTACTAAAACATGAGTGATCCCAGGTTCGTGGACGGCAAACTGAAAAAAGGAGGAAAATGCATAAATAAAAAAGAATAATTAGCGCGTAACAGAGTAAAGTTACAATACATTTAAATGCGTAAATAATAAAAACTGGCAGAGTAACTGAAAAGAAAATGAATCTTCTAGAAACTAAACCGGACTAGCATATCTGCAGTAGGCTAAGAAATGACATCTCAAATACCTAACAAATGTCTCTTCTACGAGTATGATCCTACACCATCGAATAAAATTTGACAGATTATTCTAGTCAAGAAAAAATGTTTCAAATACACAACAGGATTATACCTACATCCTCCAAGTTCGATTCTAATTCCTATGTAAAAAATCTATTATTAAAACCAAGAATAGTAAACAATGTAATATATAGCTGCATCAAACATAACAAATGTATACACACGGTATGGACACTTTGATAATATCGAATGAATACAAGGATTACCGGATTGGGGGAATTCAAAGATGGAGATCGCTTGATCATGATAATACATATTGTCGTTAATGCAGCAGTGAGAAAAACTTTTCCAACCAAATTGCCCTTCCTTTTTGGGTCTGCATAATCCATACCTAAAAATAGACGAACTCATAAGAAACTACATTTTCAAACACAAATCACAGTGCGACATGGTTTCAGCAAATTCACCGTGATTCAATACATGCACTAAAATACTAAATATCAAGGACAGAATCTTACTTCCCATTGTTGTAGGTCTGGTTGTCCTTGCTTGAGTTCTAGACCTAATAAAATTTAGCATTTGAAAAACCCCTATCACGTAGTGTCAAAAATGAACTCTTATTCCTTGATACCAATTATCAAATCAAGCTCCACTCCTAGACAGATCTTGAGAGACATTCTGCAGTAAGAACCAGACCATAAAAAATCCAAACAATCGAAAACAAAACAAGCAAATTGACCCTAAAACACATATATAGCACTGAATTCAAATGAAATCTATAAAGCTGGTGGAATGTACCATCAGAAGAAGAAACCAGTGATGATGAGTAATTGAAAAAGCAAGAAAAGTGAAACATCATAATTTGCAACACTAGTACTAAAAGACATGCAAATCAATTACTATGGTTCATAGCATTTAAAGCAAAGTAGTATAAATCAAGAAAAAAACAAACAAAACCTAATCCCTAGCCTCTCCCATTCTTAACAAAAGGACCACATTCCAAATTAAGGTGCAATAATCGATAAATGAAAGCAACAAAACTTATGCAGAACATAACAAACACAGAAAATCCACAGTTTCAAGATCCAACACATGGCAACAAAACCAACCAAAACATCCGAGAGAGATATATATAGTTCATGCGAAACAGACCCAAAAATTGTTGTGGCAATGACGAGATCTTAATGGATTAAGGGGGGGAATGGTGTAATTGAAAGGTTTTTGAATGTGAGGAAGAAAAAAAGGAAGAGAGTGTGGAAGAAGAAGGAGAAAAACGAAGGAATGGAAAGGGGAAAGAAAGAGGGAGAGGGGAGTGAATGAGAATGGACGGGTGGTGGATGTGGAGAGAGAAAAAAGAGAGAGATGGGGAGAGAGAAACGGGGAGTCAGTTCTGTGCGTGGAGTCATGTTGTTGTCGTGAAAGAGAAAACGCACACTGTGCGAACGAGAGTGCAACAACAAACGATAACGAACGACATCGTCCAAGGATGATTTCTTTTTTTCTTTAACAATATTGTATAAATGAATTTTGAGTAAACCAAAATTTGTAAATGTATGTCAATTAGATAAATTTAAATATATAAAATATTAAAGGATTAAATATGTCAAGGTCTTCATTCAACATCTTCTTCTAAAAACTAATCTAAACATATAATAGTAACAAATAGAATAAAATTATATTTGACTTTCATCATGGTATGACCATGTATAATTTTTTAGCATGGTATTTGTATAAACATTAATAACTAAAAAATTGAACCAAAACGTGAATGACTATAAGCATGTAAATAAGTCATGTAATAAATGGTTGCGTGACTCAACCAATCCACAAAAATTAATATGTCATGAACAACAATAAAAAAAACTCAGAGCATGTAAATTGAAGGAAATAACAAATCAAAACCGATGACGGCCATGTGTGATGAATACGAGGTGACGACGGTATTGAGAAAAAATGTGTTGTTGATTGTGTGTCGTTGCAGATAGACTGTGGCAAACATTTTGAATTGTAAAGGTATTGTGTGGTTGTTGTTTGTGTTGTGTTTGGAAAAGGAGAAACTCGATCCGTTGTATATTGCATAAGGTGTGGTGCGTGGCTTCAAGGTGGCCGAAAATGAAATGGTTGTTAAAGTGGAGAAGGTTATTTCACGGTGGTACAAGGGACTAGTTTGAACGGATCGAGTGGTTGCTACAGTTTGGTGGTGGTTAAGAATGGTGCAGCGCGGCAGTTTCATGGTCAGACAGTGAGATTTATGATGGCGTCACAGTTTGTTATTTAGATGGAGATATGAGTTTATGAAGTTGAATAGGATGGGAATAGTTGCAAGATGTGAGAAGGGATGAAGTATGTGTAGTGAAGGGATAAAGTATGGTAATAGTTGCAGAATGTGAGAAGGGATGGAGTATGTGAAGTGATGGCGTCATTGTTTGTTGTTTTTAGTGACGTGGCAACTTAAATTTACACTTCTGCAAAAAAAATACACATTTGGAATGACATGTAGGCCTCCGTTAGTGGAAACTAATGGGAGGGACAAATTTTAGGGACGAAAAAGATTGTGAGGATCATTATTTGAAGAAAAATTTTAGAGGGACTAAAATTAAATGTTGGCATATTTATAGGGACTAAAGACATATTTAACCCAATATTAAATTACACGTTTGAATTTTTAAACAGAATTTATTTTATTCTTTTTCTATAGAGATATTCAAGTGTCTCTAAATACTCGAATTCATCTAAGAATAATTACTTGTGTTTTTCGCTGCCATCAACTTTTCTAATCGAGCAAATCACGGGTATGTATTACAAAGGAAACTAGATTGGTCAACAGTAGTATGGCATCGACGAGGAAGGTTTGTCCCGAGAGATTGAATGGATCAACTCATCTCTCGAACCTTAATGTTAGACCAAACAAGATCTTAATTATATTTAGCACGAGCCAGAGAAGCGGAACAAATTGGTGTATCACTCATCTGCGAATTGTCGTCATTGCCAAAAGAATATTACCTCGATCTAGAGTCCCATGGGATATCCCTTTGACAGAGAAAGTATAGCCTTAATATTTTACAAGAAATTTATTTAATGTTGTAAATTCAAAGCTGGTCACGGCTTTATAGTTTGTAGAACTCTAAAGCATAATAGGCGGGTAGATTGGTGTCAGATAAATTGGCGCCACCTTTGAAAAGGTATACACTAGCGCAAAATGGGTTGACAACACCATATGCAATCGTCAATTCTATTGGTGCCACCATTAGAAGAGTAAGTGTGATTGCCAATTCACTTGGCACCACCACTTCGTTCCATTTTTTTTAAAGTGGGGTAAATTAGGAATTTTTTTGAAACTTGAGTTATTTTGGAAATAAATTTGAAAAATTGGGTTATTTGAATTAAAAAAACTCACATATTTCTCCCTTTTTTGAATGATGAATTTATTAATGTGTTACTTTGGAAGTCATTATGCTTAAATTATGGTAAACATATTCTATCAATTTTTCTTTTAGTTGCGAATGCATGTAGTTGATGACCATTAATGCATATTCAACATTAAAAATTTAAACGGAACATTTTGTCAATATTTTTTAGAGAGTTTTTATTGCACCCTATGGACTTCTTACACACCATGTGACTTTTCATATATACCTCTTGATTTCAGAGATATATCTCCGGACGCACCAAATTTCAATTAAACATTAAACTATTTCTTAGATATATCTCTAGACGCACAATTGAAAGTTGAAATATTCCAGAGATATATCTCCAAAACATTTTGGAGCATATTAACGCGTCAGACTCTTCTTCTCCTCCCTCACTTTCTATTTTCATTTACAAAACTCTTCCACTCTCTCATTCCCAAATTTCTCCAACTTCACCAAATTTAATTTTATTCATCTAAGGCTTAAGTAATCACCAAGCAGCATCCAGTTCATCATTCAACATCTTCCAAATCATAAATTTTGAGTAAGTTTTTCGAGTTTTCGGTAAATATTCGAGTTTTGTTGTAAACAAGTTAGAATCCATTGTTAGGTGTAGAAATGATTAGAAATCAGTTGAAACATAGTCTATATGTAAGTGTATGTATTGTTTGTTGACTCAAATGGGCAATTAGAACTTCAAATTTCACATTTTGAGGGACAAAAGACGCCATTGTCGCGACCTCTAAGTTTCAGAAAATTCTGGAGATACATCTCCGAAAAAATTCAACGTTTCATGTACTCTGTGGGATTTCGGAGATACATATGCGGAATGTTTCTGTAGATATATCTCAGGATTTTCCTCAGTCTGTTTTTTTAATTCTTTTTGTTTTATAATTTTCTTGTTTGTGCTATTCATTTGTGTAAACTCATTGTACGACTAATTTTACCTTGCATGCATAATGGCTGACAGAGCTGGCCGATTGAGACTTGGACGGGTTTCCCAGCATGCATCCATTCGGCGGGAGCGTAACTAGCACGTTCCAAAGGCAACAGGTACGTCTGTTCAGGGTACCTCTGGTCAGGGAGAGGCGTCGACTATTGGGGCACATTCTACTCCTTAGGCTCAGTCCACTCCAATGGCACAACCCACTCCTTCAGTGCAGTCCACTCCTAGGGCTCGACCTTCACCTCAGGATACTCCACCTACATCTCAGACCATTCCACCTTCTTCTTATTCTTCCCGTAGGAGACGTAATGCACCATACGTCGCGTCACTTCCCTCATCCTCTCGCAGGCATCGAGATGCACCTGTGCCACCTATTGATGATTCGGTGTCACCTCTAGAGGGTGAGGTTGTTGATGTTCCTGATGACCAGTGCCACCTCCAGAGGGTGAGGTTGTTGATGTCGAGTCAGAGACTTTTGGAGGGGGTCAATCTGATATGTCCCTACTTACTCTATATCCAGACCATACTGTCAAGCATATCTGAGACAAAGAGGTAACACTAGTGTAATTTTTGATGAATTTTTTCACATTAATTTAAATTCCTGAGATTGATTAATTCTTACCGACATTGATTATTTTTGGAAATTCACAGGTGTGTGATCCCCATAAGTTTTTGAACCATGGGAGGAAGATTATAATATTGCATCATCCGAAAGAGCAGTGGTTTCAGATGATTCTAACCGCTTTTGGGTTGAGTGACATATGCTTGACTCGTTACACTACACTATGGTCAACCATGGTATGCTTAATGCATTCATGGAGAGATGGCATTCTGAGACATATTATTTTCATCTCCTGCATGGTGAGATGTCTATCACCTTGGACGATGTCTCGTCTTTGTTGCATCTTCGGATCAGGGGGAGATTCATCCATCATGGTAGGATGACCAAAGACAATGCAGTCGATATGATAGTGGAACATCTAAGGGTTGATCCAGGGAAGGCGTTTGAGGAGGTGGATAGGACCAGGGGTGCTCATGTTAGGTTTTCCTTCCTGAAGACATTATTTAATGTTGATATCTTTGCTGCACAACAGGCTAATGGTGATGCTGAGTAGGTGACCTCACATAGGACTCATACTTTTAGGGCATATTTTCTTTATTTAGTCAGCACTGTGATTTTTATGGACACAAGTGCCACCTATACTAACATTGCATACCTTCGA